GCCGGAACTTATTTATTTTATAACTGGAAGTCTGTGCCCTTTGATCACCTTCATCTAGTTGCTCCTTCCCTCTCCCCCCGCTCCCCCCGCCTTGAACATCTTTCAGGGCTGTCCCAGGATGTTTGTTTAGAAGACAGCCATGGTTTCTCCTGCCAGAGGTCGGGGCAGGCGTGCTCACGGCCCATCATAAAGACTGGCCTCCTGTCCTGTGACATCACCCACTGTGTGCGTGGGCCTCACCTGGCCGTCTGTGTCATCCTGTGGGGACTGGAGCGAGGACGTGCTGGCCCTCTGGCTGCTGCAGCTGCTCAGGAACGGAGTCCTCTGTCTGTGATCGGGGTCCTGCCTTTGCCACGCCTATGAAACAGCGCAGACGCGCGCGGTAGCTTGCAGATGGGGTGAAATCACAGACGCGTCACGGTTCTTGAGTTTCGCTTAGGATGATGGGAAACGGACAAGGATGTGGTTTTCTCAGAGGAGAGGATGAAAGCCTCACGGGTCGCTTGGTGAGATATGAGGAAAATCCGTGGAGATCAATGGCTCGCTGTGTTGACCAGCTCATGGGCCTGGCAGTAAATGGTTCCCCGCTTTTGTGGCCTGACGACGGGGAGAAATGGAGATGGTTACGGAGACTGACTGCTCGCCACGCGGTCCTGTGTGGACTCAGATGCCAGACACGGCCCCCTTGGTGGCCGACTCTTCTCTGGGCAGGAGGATGTGCTCACCAGTTTGGTGGCACGTGGCCCGGAGCTTCTCAGGGTGAAAGGAGGAAGGTCACAGCCCCCGTGGGCAGAAGGCAGGCAGGTTGTTAGGACCTTGAGTGGTTCCCTTGGGAGATGAGTGGGGACTTGGTACAGCCGGATAGGTGGCTCTAGCACCGACTGTCATGCCGACCTCGGGTCCAGTGGTTGGTGGCAGTAAAAGGCCCAGTGTTTTTTGCGGTGGAGGCGGTCTGGGGTGCTCCCCAACGCTGGCACCAAGTGTTGCTTTCCCTGGTGGCACAGCAGGAGGCTGCCCAGGCTTTGAAGGGGTTGGGCGTTATTTTGGCGGCTCCCCTTCTGTGGGGCCTTCCTGTCTGTGATCTCCCCCCCACCCACTCCTGACTCCACCATCTGGCCCCTGAAGCCTCTAAGACTGTGCTTTCTGGGACTTCCCTGGCCGTCCAGTGGTTAGGACCCTGAGCCCTCACTGCCAGGGGCACGGGTTTGAGCCCTGTTGGGGGAACTAAGATCCTGCATGCCTTGCGGTGCAGCCAAAAAAAAAAGAGTGAGACTGTGCTTTCTGCCGAGTTCTGGGGATGTACGAGCCATTGGGGTCCCTTGTTTCAAGGGTCCAATCCCCTCGGTTCTGTGGGCTTTTGGTTTCCTTCCAATGTCGTCAGATAGTCATGTGTATATTCCTCTCTTTCTTCCAGTGGAACAATGTATCTGCCTGTGTTTTCAGTAGATAACAACCGTTCTTAGTAGTTAAGGCAACTTTTCTTGTTCTTAATAGTTAACACACCTTTCACGTGACTGGTGAAACACCTGTCTTCCTCATCTGTTGCTTCAAGGGTCCACCAGAATTCTTTGACATAAGCAGGGTTTTTTGTTTGTTTTTTTTTTTGCGGTACGCGGGCCTCTCACTGCTGTGGCCTCTGCCGTTGCGGAGCACAGGCTCCGGACGCACAGGCTCAGCGGCCATGGCTCACGGGCCCAGCCACCCCGCGGCATGTGGGATCTTCCCGGACCGGGGCACGAACCCGCGTCCCCTGCATCGGCAGGCGGACTCTCAACCACTGCGCCACCAGGGAAGCCCGAGCAGGGTTTTATGTATCATGGTGATGCTCTGTTGTTCCAGGTTACCCAGGCATTGGTGTACGACTGAAACCTGAGAAAAGCCTTCAGCCTTGCTTCTGGTTGCAAAGTTATCCTGGAAGCCCACTGTTCTGGGAGGGATCACAGCAAGTATTAGCCACCAGCGGGGCCGCTGGCACGGTTACTGGTGATGGTGCCGCTTTGGTCTTCTTGTAAGTGGATGTTTGCGTGCCTGATTTCTCAAGCTGCAGCAATAGCAGAGTTACGTTCTTCCTTCTTTACTGAGCTCTTTAACCACGGTGGGTTTCTCCATGGGTTTTTGTTCATCGGTTAGTGAACCTTCGTCCGTGCTTTTCTTTCTGTCTTGTGCAACCCCCTGGCCATCCCAGCACCTTCCTGGGCTCCGAGATTGTGGCATGTTCCGAGGTCAGTGGAGTGCGTTGGGTGTTTGGAATGACCCTTTTTGATTAATTTTACTGCTCTGGAAACCATCAGAGGATTTTGCTGTGTTCAGGAAAGCCTGGTTTTACTTCTTTCACGTTTGGCGTGTTTTAGATTGAGTTTTAGAAGGAAATCCTAAGGAAAAGAACTTTTGTCTGTAATTCTGTGCTTTTATGAAGAATTTGTTTTTTAAAATTCTTTACATCGAGATTCTGTAACTAGAAGTGGATACCCACGTATACTTTAAGAGACAGTTTGTCGATACTAGTTTTCAGAACCAGTTACGGGGCGGCTCTCAAGAGGAAGGGACTGAAAACCCAAAGAAAGATCTCTTCATGTGTTGTCTTGTGATCAGGTCTTCCTCCCTCATCACAGAAGAGCTCTGGAAATCCCTTGAGGCTTATATCCCAGTAAAATCATGTTGAATCCGGGTGATGTGCCTTTTTGTGGGAGATTAATTTAGCTACTCAGACTAGGGATGAACAGGACTTTAACGCTTTCAAAGGAGGGAGGACATTTGTCCTTGAAGGAGGGGTGTCCCAGCTTGGTGTGAAGTTGGTGTTAGGGGCCTGAACCTCCCACGCTGTGTGTCCCATGCCCGGTGTGGCTCTCGTAGACCCGCCACTTCGTGTTTGTGTCCCCGTGTCGGCCACACGTGTTGTCAGCTTGCAGCCACGTCCCCACGAGGGTTAGAGCAGCACGTGCGCCCCGAGTGCCCACTGCTCCTTCCCCGTCTACTGTGGGGTTGTGAGCTGGGACCTGCAGGCCAGCCGGAAGAATGGTTTCCACAGGTTTTAAATAGTTGAAGAAAATCAGAAGTTCCCTATTTTAGGACACGTGAAAATGACAAAACCCTCACTTCAGTGCGCGTAGTAGTTTCCGTGGCGCCTGTGGCTGCTCTCATGCCCAGTGGTGCAGTGGTGTGGTCGGGCCCCACGTGGCCCTTTCCAAGCCCCGGTCTCCTGTGCGTGCCTCGTCCCCACTCCTCTCAGTGTCCAAGCGGAGTGTGGCCGCCGAGTGCACACGTGGTGCAGCCCGTGGGGGGCCGGCCTGCAGGGCCGCCAGCCGTTCACGGGGGTCAGGGGAGGAGACCTGTCCTCCCTGACCAGAGCCCTGTGCAGCTTGAAGGAAACGGGCGAAAGGAAGATGGGCCGCCCTGGTCCAGCCTCCCTCATGCTGCTGGGGTGGAAGTTGATTTAGAAAGAAACTAAGTATTAAACAACGTTGTTAGCTGTTAAGAGAGAATCTCTTTACTGCTTGTATCTAAAACTTTTAAGTTATTTCTGCCATGAAATTGATTGGCATGGAATTTTCCAGAAACGTGTTTTAAATGGAAATACTCACACCCTTAAACGCAGCTCTTCACAAGCAGAGGAATGGGAGGAAATCACTTTGAAAGCTCCCCGAGCTGCAGCCTGGGCCACGAGGGCCCACCGTGCAGGCCTGACGCCGCTGTGACGCGGGGTCTGCCTGGCGTGAGACCCGCCTTCTGCTGCAACCTGGCTTTCCTTCTCCTAGTCCTTGTCGCCCAGAGGCAGTCATGTGCATTTCACTTTAGGCTCTTCTGTAGTTCAGGGCTTTCGTTCTCTACGCCCCAGGTAGGTATACTGGCGAGTTTGGGGGGTATTTCGACAGTAGGGCAGATGCTGGGGTGTAGGGTGTTCCGCACTCCCCTCCAGCGTCTGCAGCTGTGCTCGGCTTCTGCTACTTTGGCATGTTAGGGAACTAGGTGCACCGTTGTGTCAGCTGGCCTAACCTGTAGCTTTGCCAGGAGTTTGCTGAAGACCCTGATAACGGCCTAGAAGACCCTGTCTCCTTAGTTAAAGAGCTGCCTGCCGTGTGGCCCAGGCCTCTGCGTACGAGGTACGAGGTACCTGCTGCCACCGGGGAAGCAGGCTGGTGGTTTCTGTGTTGACTGGAGAGGTAGCCACGGGTTGTATTTCCCCAGTAACTTGAGGGACATTATGTGAAACAGGTTCGTTCCCACAAGTCATAGACGCTCTCCCACCTACACTTAGGATGTCAATTAAGGCAGTGGAATTTGTCACGGTAATAACAGTACGTTTCATGCCAAGGTTGTGTAAATTCATAAATTTGATACGGGATGTGTTGATCACCAGATTCAAAGACTGACAGCATCTTCCTTTAAAGATGTTGGTTCACACTAGTTAAAACCAAGTTTAAAGGTAAATAACCTGACCATTCTACACCATTTTATTACCAATAAAGCGTTAAGTCCTCTGCTGACCTTTTTCATTTTAACTGAGTGCTTCTAAGTGACGCTGTCAGTACCGACCCTGTTTCCTCGGTGCGTGGGCCGGTGCCACCCTCAGGGCTCGGCCTGGACCACAGCTGTGCTGTTTCTTGGGCGCCTGCTGTTGGTAACAGGATGACCAGGCAGAAGGCTGGAGATGCCCAGCACTGTGGTCCAGTTGTGACCGTGAAAACCAGCTCAGGAGGTCGGCGTTCAGTATAAAAAATAGAAGGAGAGCCCCTCTTGAATCACAAAAAAATAAGCTACCTAACACGTCCATATATTCTGAGCATAAACTTTAAGCATTTTGTTTGACGTAATCTCAAGGAAATCGCTAAAACCCCGAATGCTCTGTTACTGTTCTGTTTTCAGACCGTTTGGCTCGGGAAGAGGCGATCGCGTGCATCACCTGTTGCGGTTTTTATTATTTTCGATGATCCATTATTATTACGCTTGCACCTTATCTTTCAGATAGTGCGTTTATACTTTTCTCTTTTCCCCTATAACAGGTTGAAAGAATCGTTGACAAAAGGAAGAACAAAAAAGGGAAGACGGAATATTTGGTCCGGTGGAAGGGCTACGACAGCGAGGACGACACCTGGGAACCGGAGCAGCACCTGGTAAACTGCGAGGAGTACATCCACGACTTCAACAGGCGCCACACCGAGAAGCAGCGGGAGGGCCCCTTCACCAGGGCCAACCGGGCCTCCCCGAACAACGCCAGGAAGCAGATTTCCAGGTCCACCAACAGCAGCTTTTCCAAGGCCTCTCCTAAATCGCTAGTGGTCGGCAAAGAGCACGAGCCCAAGGCCAGCCCGCTGTTTGCCGCCAGCCAGAAGTTCAGGAAGAACCCAGCCCCGTCGCTCTCGAACCGGAAGAACATGGACCTGGCCAAGTCAGGTATAAAGATCCTCGTGCCCAAGAGCCCCATCAAGAGCAGGACCGCAGTGGACGGCTTTCAGAGCGAGAGCCCCGAGAAACTGGACCCCGTCGAGCAGGGGCAGGAGGACACGGTGGCGCCGGAGGTGGCGGCCGAGAAGCCGGTCGGAGCCCTGCTGGGCCCCGGAGCCGAGCGGGCGCGGATGGGGAGCCGGCCCCGGATACACCCGCTGGTGCCGCAGGTGCCCGGCCCCGTGACCGCGGCCATGGCCACGGGGCTGGCCGTGAACGGGAAAGGTGAGTGATGGTCTTGGAGGGGCGTGGGGTCCCTGCCCCGGAGGGCAGTCTGGTGTGGGCCCGGGGGCTCCTGCGGGCTCCGCTTCTGACAGATGTCTGTCTGCGGGAACCCTGGAGCGGTTTCGCCAGCCCCCGTTTTCTTTCCTTGAAGCCTTTGACAGTGACGTCTGAAGTCAGCACTGGCTGTCTCTGTTTCATTGGCCGTCCGCAGACTGGACCAGCACGTTAACTTGATTTAAACAGTGTCCCACTCTGAGTAGGTGATGGCTGGGGTTTTTGTTCGGTTGGTTGGTTGGTGGGTTTTTTACAGCTAGTTTCTACCTTTATGCATCTCTTAGGCACTGGGTCTCATGTTAGGAATCCATCTGAATTCTCTAAGTGTGACTGGTATTGATGAGAAGTCATGGTTCTTGTTGTGCTAACCCATCTAAGTAACCGGAAGTGCCTTTCAAGGAGGATATTGATGACCTAAGAGCCTTCGGGACCTCGACTGGTCTAAGACAGTCCGCTGTTCGGGTCCCTTTTTCAGAGCAGGAGGCCGTTCAGCGTGGGTGCTCTTTTCTGTTCCGCTTTTACCCTGTTCCTGACCCGGATGCTGCAGCTAGGGTGGTCATCCTGTGGCCTCCCCGACCCCAGGACAGCACACCTGGGGATCAGCACGGACAGCTACCTTCCCTGCCCTTTTCGTGTGCCTGGCGAGCCGCCACTTCTTCTAGAATATTCTGTTACATCTTCTCTAACATGTGCCTCACCTCACGGTACCTGCCTGCTGTCTTACCGGCCCCCCTGCTCCACCGCCTCTTGGCGACTCCCGTCCATTCGCTGTGATTCTTGGACGGGGGCGCGATCCCTGGTCGCAGCTGCTGTACCTAGTGGGCAGGCAGCCCCCAGTCTCTCCGCGGCCCTCCCCTGCCTGTCCAGCTCTCTCTCCACGTCAGGGCGCCTGCTCTTCTCTGCCCTATTCCTTCTCTGCCTCGTGGACACTGCTCTTCCTCTGGTCCAAGAGCCACCCGCTCCTGTGTCCCTTTGTCACTCGTGCCCCCTCGCCCTCCGTGTTGCAGGAGTGGGACGGTCTCTGTACCTGTGCGCATCTCCCTCAGCCCACGCTTAGTAGAATAATACGAAACGAGGAGAAGTGCTGTTGGTTTGTCTGGGGCGCCCTTCTCCTCCAGAGACATGTTCCCCTGAGACACCGCTCTGCCATCTTGCTGTGGTGCGTCCCGCCGTCTTGGGGGGATGTTACTGAAGTCAGGGTCCCCTTCGCACAGTAAAGGGGCCTCTCGCCAGTGTTTCCCAGACACGCGCTTCGCCCCGGCGCCGCTGCTCTGCCCTGCTTTTGGCCTTCGCCTGGAGCGCGTCCGCAGAGCTGACCTCTCGTGTGGCTGACTTGCCCACAGACACAGCCCTCTGACCTCGGCGCGAGGAAGGAGCGTAGAGGCTCGGAGGCAGACGAGGCCCGACAGCCTGCTGATAGGAGGCTCCACTCTGCAGACGGGGGTCAGGTCCGGAGAGGCTGGATGCTCGGGCCGGGCGGGAATCAGCACGTCTCTTAGTTCCCACCCTGTTTTCTCCTCGCCACTGCCAGCCACCTTCACCAGGGAAAGAAACGTCTCCTGCTTCACCACTCACTCGGGCCAGGTGCCGCCTGGGCTCTGGTGCTGCAGACGAGGCCTGGGCCCGAGCTGCCATACTACAGCCCGTGGGCCCAGCCCCGTGTGGCCCAGGAGCTAAGAATGGTTGTCGCATTTTCTGATGTTTGAAAAAATCAAGAGGAATAATATTTCACGATCCGTGAAAATAGAAGAAATTCAGATTTCTGTTCCACAGAGGGTTATTGGAACCCAGGCACGTTCGTTCGTTCACCTACAGTCTGGCTGCTTTCCAGCTGCAGGGACAGAGTTGAATCACTGTGACGAGACTGTGTAGCCTGCAGGCTGAAGGTGGGCCGTTTGGCTTTTAACAGAAGAAGTTTGCTCACCCTGCTCTGGGAAGCCTTGGTCCTGGGAGTGGGGCACAGGGGCCTCAGATCCTGGGGCTCCCCTTTGATTGTCCACAGAGCTTGTGTGTACATACGTTTTCTGGCCGGAGGGGACCCATAATTTTCAAAACTATTGACTCTTAAGTTCCCACATTATGCTCTCAGCACAGTTCTGCAGGGTTGGCTGCCCTCAGCAGAAGCCCTCAATTTTGTATATACGGAGGGTTGTGGCTTCTATTCAAATAAAAAGTGGGTGACTTCCTTTTTTTTATCACTCGTAGCCATTTCAGAATTTTTTCAGTGTCTATAAGGGTGTCTGTGGTTAAAACCACAGGGGGCGTGTAAGCGTAAAATCTTAAATTATTTTATCTTGTTCTGCGGAGGTAGTTGATTGGGGTGAGAGTAACATATGTTTCCAAGGCCCCCTGTGACCGCCCTTCTCTTCTGCGCACCCCGGTCCCATACAGGTTGAGAATCTCCTCGCCACTTAGATGGTAGCAAGTCTGGCAGCCCCTCGGGAATGTCTTTAAGGCCGTGGTGAACCAGGCTTGCAGTGGTGTCCCAGACGCTCGTCAGGGTCACTGGGTGCCTTTGCTTCCTGTCACCCTCCTGCATGGAAGATGCTTTCGTTCTTGCTGCCACTGGACTGTGGGCTTCGGGAGGGATGTTGTCTTGCAGGGCTGAGCCTCCCCGCGGCCAGAGCAGGGCCTGTGTGTGGCGGGAGTGATATGGGTAGGACAGTGCTTGCTGGAGAAGAGGCTGTGTGACACATCCTTTTCGCCCTTTCGCTGGGTCACACTAAACGAGAGGGGGTGCTGTTGAAAAGACAAGGTCTGTGGTCCAGAGCATGGAACCTTCCGGAAAACCACATCCTCGCCTTCAGCGTGTCTCTTTCCTGACGAGCAGGACCGAGGCCCTCTTGGGTGGTTGGTCCACGTTCGTACTTTCTTAACACAGATGTTTGTTTCTACCTTCCACGGTAATTTTAGAGCCGCACCAGAACCCTGATTTGTTTTTCTAAAACTAATTGGAGCAGCTACTTGCAGAGTCATCGGGAAATGAACCGTCTCCTATTCAAAACATTAATCGAGTAGGGGGTATATTTTTGCCACCAAGCACAGCAGATACTTAAATGCCTGTTACCCAAAAGAGTAAATGTTTCTGGAGAATTTTAACACACACGCACAGTGACTTTTACAGGCTAACCATATGTGTGTTTGGTTTTTGACTGTTTTAAGTATGAAACAGAGGTTTAAAAGATGATATATTGCTTCACTCAGAAATAGAAAAAATTTTAAATGTAGGCAGTGCAGCTGTGTTTCCACTCTTTTTTATTAATAAGTTACTGTTTTCATGCTCTTTTAATTGCCTGATGAACTAATCCTACAAAGGAAGCAATTGCTTTTAAAAACTGTATTATTGTTACTTTGTTCTTTCGTGAATTCAAATGTATAGTTGATCACCATTCCACAGGTATGACATTTGAGAAAATACTAGTAGCAAACTGTCTTTTTGAAATGAGGTCTACACCGTATCAGTGTTATCATGTCGGGTTGGCTGCTGGGTTTTAAGTCAAAGCTAACAGATTTAGAGGAAAATGATGGAGGAAACACCTGAACACACCACATGTCTTCCACCCCGTGAGCATTTCAGTTGGAGGAAGCTCCCGGGGGAAATTTTCAGGAAAAGTTGGCTTCTTCTTTGGAGAAGCTGCAGCATAAAAGTTCCTCCCAGTAAGAATATGAAGGAGATGATTCCGGGGATCCCGGTCCAGAGCTCCTCTGCAGGAGGAGCCCCGGGGCCACTTGCTGTGTAGGCGCTGACATCGGAACTTACCTCCAGGGAAGGTTAGGAGGCCGGGAGACCAGTGCCCAGAGGCAGTCGCCGGTCAGCGGGGCCCCAGCAGGAAGTGTCCGCTGGACAAGAGGACGTTTGAGGCCACACTGTAGCAGACCGTCAGTTAAATGTGTGTACGAGGGCTCACCTCACCACGAAGGATTTCCATTTGAAACCAACAAGCGTTTGTCATTTGTCGTAGTCTCCCAGGGGGGAGATGACCCGCCAGCGGCTCGCGGGCACTCAGCTTTGCCCGCCCTGAGCACACGGTAGATGGCCCCGCAGACCGGTGCAGTCGCCCCGTTTCCTTCCTGAGCTGAGGTCGGCGGCCCCCAAATCTGGATGTGCTTCAGAGTCCCGTGGAGTTTCAGGCACAAGGCCCCACGGAGAAGAGGTTTCTGCCCTGCGGCAGCAGCCTGTGGGGTGAAGTCTGTCACCCCCAGGAGTCTCTGAAAACATACAGACCGTCATCATTTTACTTGAAAACTTATAAATGGGCGGTTCTTTGCCAGTCCCCGATGTGGAGCCCAGGCCTTTAAAGGGGTGCTTTCACTTGCCACTTGTTTGAAGAGCGAGCCTCTTTCTTTACACGTGGACCCACTGGTTTTGTGTGGCGCACACCCTTAAACCCTCTTCTCCTGTTTCCAGTTCGTATTTCATTAAAGTGGACACGATCTTAGGTACTTACCAGTCTGCCTGGGTGCACAGCCCTAGCATTTTTCTTTCTTCCCACTTTCTCACTTACACCTGATTTGACCATTCCTTTTACCCGTACGCTGTGTATACTTTCCAGAGCATCACTGTTTTCTTTGAAGCATCAGCTCACCATTCGTAATCATATCTCCTATCTTGTGTAAAATGAACTAAGTGTGATCATGACAGATTCAACGGGCCTAAGACGTTTTAGGGAGTCACCCAGCCAGCTCTGGACCAGCCCGAGTCCCAGCAGGAGGAACCCGACCTGACTGCCGAGCTCCGACCTCTGCTTCTGGGAGACTCGCCTCCTCGCTCCTCTGCGAGGTTTTAGGGACGCTCAGGAGTGCTTGGGACTCGGGGCAGCATTGACCCAGTGAGCCCACTTCAGAGCCCTTGTGACTGTTTGGTTTTCTCTCTTCGTTTCCACTGTCTTTGTGTCTCTGCCTATTCCAGTGGTTCTCGGAGTGTGGTGCCCAGAGCAGCGTCAGCA